GATTGCAAAAATTTTCTCCCATTCTCTAGGTTACCAGTTCACTCTGATGATAGTTTATTTTGCTGTGCAGAAGCTCTTTAGTTTAATTAGATCCCAGTTGTCAATTTTGGCTTTGTTGCCATTGCTTTTGGTGTTTTAGTCATGAAGTCTTTGTCCATGTGTATGTTCTGAATGATATTGCCTAGGTTTTCTTCTAGGGCTTTATGGTTTTAGGATTTATGTTTAAGTCTTTAATCCATCTTGAGTTAATTTTTGTATAAGGTGTAAGGAAGGGGAACAGTTTCAGTTTTCTGCATATGGCTAGCCAATTTTCACAGCACCATTTATTGAACAGGGAATCCTTTCCCATTGTTTATTTTGTTAGGTTTGTCAAAGATCAGATGGTCGTAGATATGTGTCTGTTCTGTTCCATTGCTCTATATATCTGTTTCAGTATGAGTACCATTCTGTTTTGGTTACTGTAGCCTTGTATAGTTTGAAGTCAGGTAGCGTGATGCCTACAGCTTTGTTCTTTTTGCTTAGGATTGTCTTGGTTATAAGGGCTCTTTTTTGGTTCCATATGACATTTAAAGTAGTTTTTTCTAATTCTGTGAAGAAAGTTTATGGTATCTTGTTGGAAATAGCATTGAACCTATAAATTACTTTGAGCAGTATGGCCATTTTCATGATATTGATTCTTCCTATCCATGATCATGGAATTTTTTTTTCATTGGTTAGTGTCATCTCTTATTTCCTTGAGCAGTGATTTATAGTTCTCCTTGAAGTGGTCTTTCACATCCCTTGCAAATTGTATTCGTAGGTATTTTATTCTCTTTGTAGCAATTGTGAATGGGTGTTCACGCATGATTTTCTCTCTGTCTATTATTGGTGTATAGGAATGCTTGTGACTTTCGCACATTGATTTTGAATCCTGAGACTGCTGAAGTTGCTTATCAGCTTAAGGAGATTTGGGGCTGAGACGACAGGGTTTTCTAAATATATAATCATGCCATCTGCAAACAGACACCTTTACTTTCTCTCTTTTTATTTAAATACCCTTTATTTCTTTCTCTTGTCTGATTGTCCTGACCAGAACTTCCAATACTATGTTGAATAGGAGTGGTGAGAGAGGGCACCTTTGTCTTGTGCAGGTTTTCAAAGGGAGTGCTTTGAGCTTTTGTCCATTCAATATGATACTGGCTATGTGTTTGTCATAAATATTTCTTATTTTGAGATATGCTCCATCAATACAAACAGTTTATTGAGTGTTTGTAGCATGAAGGGGTGTTGAATTTTATCAAAGGCCTTTTCTGCATCTGTTGAGATAATCATGTGGTTTTTGTCATTGATTCTGTTTACGTGATGGATTATATTTATTGATTTGCATATGTTGAACCAACCTTGCATCCTAGGGATGAAGCCAACTTGATCCTGGTGGACAAGTTTTTATTGTGCTGCTGAATTCAGTTTGCCAGTATTTTATTGAGAATTTTTGCATCTATGTTCATCAGAGATGTTAACCTGAAATTTTCTTTTGTGTGTGTGTGTTTCTCTGCCAGGTTTTGGTATCAGGATGATGCTGGCCTCATAAAATGAGTTAGGGAGAAGTCCCTGTTTTTCAATTGTTTGGAATCGTTTCAGAAGGAATGGTACCAGCTCCTCTTTGTACCTCTCATGGAGTTCAGCTGTCAATCCATCTGGTTCTGGGCTTTTTTTGGTTGGTAGGCTATTAAATACTGCCTCAATTTCAGAACTTGTTATTGGTCTATTCAGGGATTTGAATTCTTCCTAGTTTCGTCTAGGGAGGGTGTATATGTCCAGCAATTTACCCACTTTTTCTAGATTTTCTAGTTTATTTGCATAGAAGTGTTTATAGTATTCTCTGATTGTAGTTTGTATTTCTGTGGGATCAGTGGTGATATCACCTTTATCATTTTTTATTGCGTCTATTTGATTCTTCTTCTTTATTATTTTGGCTAATGGTCTACTTTGTTAATCTTTTCAAAAAACCAGCTCCTGGATTCATTGATTCTTTGAAGGGTTTTTTGTGTCTCTACCTTCTTCAGCTCTGCTGTGATCTTAGTTATTTCTTGTCTTCTGCTAGCTTTTGAGTTTGTTTGCTCTTGCTTCTCTAGTTCTTTTAATTGCTTTATGAAGTTCTCATGCTGTTTTTAGCTCCATCAGGTTGTATATGTTCTTCTCTAAACAGTTATTCTAGTCTGCAGTTCCTGTAACCTTTTTATCAAGGTTCTTAGCTTGCTTGCATTGGGCTAGAACATGCTCCTTTAGCTTGGAGGAGTTTGTTATTACCCACCTCCTGAAGCCTACTTCTGTCAATTTGTCAAACTCATTCTGCATCCAGTTTTGTGCCCTTGCTGGAGAGGACTTGCAATGATTTGGAGAAGAGGCATTCTGGTTTTTGGATTTTTCAGTATTTTTGTGCTAGTTCTTCTCCATCTTCATGGATTTATCTACCTTTGAGTTTTGATGCTGATGGTTTTTGGATGGGGTTTTTCTGTGGGTGTCCTTTCTGTTGATGCTGATGTTATTGCTTTCTGCTTGTTAATTTTCCTTCTAACAATCAGGCCCCTCTTCTGCAGGTCTGCTGGAGTTTGCTAGAGGTCCACTCCAGACCCTGTTTGCTTGGGTATCACCAGCAGAGGCTGCAGAACAGCAAACATTGCTACCTGCTCCTTCCTCTGGAAGTTTTGTCCCAGACAGGCACCAGCCTGATGCTGGCTGGAGCTCTCCTGTATGAGGTGTCTGTTGACCCCCGCTGGGAAATGTCTCCCAGTTAGGAGGCACAGAGGGTCAGGGGCCCATTTGAGGAGGCAGTCTGTCCCTTAGCCAAGCTTGAGCACTGTGCAGGGAGATCTGCTTCTCTCTTTAGAGCCAGCAGGCAGGAACGTTTAAGTCTGCTGAAGCTGCGCCCACAGCTGCCCCTTCCCCCAGATGCTCTGTCCCAGGAAGATAGGAGTTTTATCTGTAAGCCCCTGACTGGGGCTGCTGCCTTTCTTTCAGATATGCCCTGCCCATTGAGGAGGAATCTAGAGAAACAGTCTGGCCCAAGACACTGCCATACTGCAATGAGTTCCACACAGAGTTAACACTGTGAGGAGAAAACTGCCTACTCAAGCCTCAGTAATGGCAGATGCCCATTCCCCCACCAAGCTCCATCGTCCTAGGCTGACGTCAGACTGCTGTGCTGGCAGTGAGAATCTCAAGCCAGTGGTTCTTAGCTTGCTGGACACTGTGGGACTGATACCTGATGAACGAGACCACTTGGCTTTGTGGCTTCAGCCCCCTTTCCAGGAGATTGAACGGTTCTGCCTTGCTGGGGTTCCAGGCACCACTGGAGTATGAAAAAAAAACTCCTGCAGCTAGCTCAGTGTCTTCCTGAACAGCCGCCCAGTTTTGTGCTTGAAACCCTGATGGTGTAGGCACACAAAGGAGCCTTCTGCTCTGTGGGTTGCAAAAATGTGGGAAAAGCATAGTATCTGGGCTGGGTAGCACAGTGTGTCATGGCACAGTCCCTCTCTGCTTCCCTTGGCTAGGGGAGGGAGCCCTCCCAGCTATGCACTTCCTGAGTGAGGCACACCTACCCTGCTTCTGCTTGCCCACTGTAAGCTGCACCCACCAACCAACCAGCCTCAGTGAGATGAACTAGGTACCTCAGTTGGAAATGCAGAAATCACCCACATTCTGCATTGATCTCGCAGGGAGTTGCAGACTGGAGCTCTTCCTATTCAGCCATCTTGCTGCACCCTATGAATCTAGATCAATTTGTAGAGAATGGATATATTTACAATTTTGAGCTTTTCAGTTAATGACAATAAGTGGTATGCTGGTAAGATGGCTCTCTGTAAAACACTACCACTTGATTTGTAGCATTTTTCAACTTCAATGATGTAAATTGTCTCACCATGGCTGATTTCCATTGGTAAACAATTTAAAAATCAAGTTCACAAAACTCAATATTTAATAATCAGTTGTCATGATTGAATTCAGGTTGGTGGTACACCATTAAAAATGGTTCATCACTAAGTTTATTTCGGTTAACTTGATTTTCCTTTTTTGTTAGATTTACTCCTAGGTATTTTTTACTTTGTATGTAATTGTGAATGGTATATATCTGTATCTATGTGTATCTCATTATTGCTGAATTATGGTTTTCTAGGACTTTGTACCTTTTTTAAATATTAGAACTAATTACATAATGTTTAGTATCCTCCTATTATCTTTTAAGTATTTGTAGGATCTGTGGTGGTCTTATTTGTCGTTGGTTATATTTCCTCCCTTTTTTTCTTTTGTCAATCTTAGTACAGGTATCTATCAACTTTGTTAGTCTTTCCAAAACACAATTTTTTTTTCTGTGTTCATTCTCTCTATGTAAGGTTTGTTTTTTGTTTCTGTAATTCCTGCTTTTGTCTTTATTACTATTTTCTTCTACTTTTGCGAGGTTTAATTTGCTATTTTTTTCTAACATTTTGAGATAGAATTTTAGATTATTGGTCTTTTTATCTTTTTTAGCATATGCATTTAAGACTAAATTCCCTTGTCAGCACATCTTTACCTTATTCCACAAGTTTTAATATGTAATATTATCATTGTCATTAAAGATATATTCTAACTTTTTGTGGTTTGTGTTTTGACACATGAATTATTTAGAAATACACATTAATTTTCAAATATATGGGAGTTTTCTTAGCAGTTCTTTACTATTGATTTCTAGTTTAATTCCCTACCATAAATAGCACATTTATTTGTACCACTTGTCTTTGCCATTATGCTAATTTAAAATGATATACGTTTTATATAACTGTCTGCAGTACTATTTTATAACCATCACTGTGGGAACACCTCTTTTACTAGGGTTGAAGGAATACTATTCATCCTCTGTATCTGCAATTGACTGCTTGTTGTTTAACAAATACCATTATTTACCTTAATTCTGCTTTTATAATTTGGAACTAACAATATTTTTTAAAATTTTATTTTCCTCTATGTTTTTTGTTTTGAAGGAGGAGAAGTTGACTTCAATGACCTGGAAAATGTCCTGCAAAATATGGGGATAGAGCTCACATCTAGAGAACAGTTGGAGCTAGAGAAATTACTTCCAATTGATGGTGGGCATTTCAAATAGTAGTATTCTTCAAGGGAGTTAATGTAGTCATCAAGGGTGTCATTCCACATTATACATATCAGTAGATCTTGAAGTAATTAGGAATATATCCTCAGAATTTACATTATTTAGTAACCTATGTTTGTTGTACATTGTTTATAAATTGGGAATTATAAAATATTCATACTTTCATAGGTAACTATTTTTAATATTTAGGAATACAAAAATTGTCTAATAAAATATACATAACTATAAATCTTCCCATCAGGGCTAAGGAATTAATATTGATGGTTATCTTTCATCCTATTGAGTTGTGTTGGGTTAAGACCTATAGGAAACAGGAGGAGGAGAAATATATAGATGTATGGGCGAGTGGAGAAAAAAAGAATAAAGTCAGAAAAGGTATACTTTCTTTGCTTTACCCTAGTTGGTATAAATAATTTTCTCAGATGCTAAAGAACTGACAGATTTACCATAACAAACCACATTGCCATGTATGTACCTATGCAACAGTCTTGCATGTTCTTCACATGTACCCCAAAACCTAAAATGCAATAAAATATATATTAAAAAAAAGAAAGAAAACAATCCTATGCATAACTAATAAAAATGCTTAGGAATAAAAAAAAATTTGTCTACATTTTAATTTTATTATTTTAGAAGATATTAAGTAAATTTTAAGAACAAATTATTTTGTGGTCTGTATTTCTGAACTTAAGAGATTTCTGTATTGCTTTTGTATATATATTTTCCATATTACATAAATTATGTATTTTCTTACAGCTAATGGAAAAATATATAAGAATAGGTTGCTGAACTGTGTGAAATATATAAAAGGTAAGTGATCGCAAATTGAGAAAGCAGATTAATTGAGGTACTTGTGTTATGCTTTTGTTTTTTCCTCACCACTAAATTTTGCTATCAATCTCATATATATTCTCATAATTAATTTTAATATATATACATGTTCACATTGGTTTATAATTTTCCATGTTTTATTTTTAAAATTTATTCTAGCTAACTTAGATTTTTCTCAATTTTGGCTATGGAAATAATAAAATTTAGTCTTACATATCAAAATTTTAGAGAAGCTAGTATATCTTGAGATACAGTGAGCAAACAGAACCTTATTTGTATGGATACTTATGTTAAAAACGATTTGAAAAATTGCTATATTTCTGCCATAAATAACCTGAGTGGTTTATCAACTTTCAACATGCTGCTTATGTGGGCTTATTTTGGATATTGGATATAAATGAATACATTAATTTTAGTTCATTAATGGCCCTCTTTAAGCACTTAAGTGTCCCTGGGCTCTTCTTTATAATAAAATTGATAATCATGATGTATAAAAATTAATATTTATGACATTTTGACTTTTGTTTCAATTGCTTCATATCTTTCCCTTTTATAGAGTTGCAAGTCAATGTTCATGACATTGACAGTATACTCGGAAACATGGCACTCAAACTCCCAGCTGAGGAACTTAACGATCAGACCTCAAATCTACCAGTGAATGGTAAGAAACTTAATAGCTTTCCACCCTCAAGCAAATTTTGGATTCTTAATAGCTTTGCACCCTAAAGAGAATTTTGGCTAATATTTTTGATCGTACTTATTTGGCTTAGATGAAAATGATTTTTTTCCTCTTAACGTATTAATCTAAAGTTAGTACTTTTAAATTTTTCATTCATTCACTCATTCATTTAACAATTTTTTATTAAGCACTACATATCAGGTGCTATGCTAAGTGCCAGAGATACAGTGGTAAGCAAAAATAGACATTGTCCTTGGCTTTGAGGGACTTAATATAAACAGTCCTTAGTGTACCAATAGTAGCTGAGAAAGTTGCTAGGGCCTTAGTCAAATTAATAGTTTTCATAAGAACTAAAGCTACCAGAGTTTCAGCCAATATGTACAACATTTCCCTACTTATTTATAGACATGGATTTTCAAATTGTTGAATCAGATTTTGTGAATCAAGGACAGAATTGTCTGTCTTAAAGAAAAAATTGGCCCGCAGCCCCGGAGTCAAAGCCAGTTCCCGGCCCAGTCCTGTCCTGCAGCAGCCTGCCTCCTCGTTCCTTTCAACATGAAAGATGCCGCTGTGTCCTTCGCCAAGGACTTCCTGGCAGGTGGAGTGGCCGCAGCCATCTCCAAGACGGCGGTAGCGCCTATCGAGCGGGTCAAGCTGCTGCTGCAGGTACAGCATGCCAGCAAGCAGATCACCGCAGATAAGCAATACAAGGGCATTATAGACTGCGTGGTCCGTATTCCCAAGGAGCAGGGAGTCCTGTCCTTCTGGCGCGGTAACCTGGCCAATGTCATCAGATACTTCCCCACCCAGGCTCTTAACTTCGCCTTCAAAGATAAATACAAGCAGATCTTCCTGGGTGGTGCGGACAAGAGGACTCAGTTTTGGAGCTACTTTGCAGGGAATCTGGCATCAGGCGGTGCTGCTGGGGTCACATCCTTGCGTTTTGTGTACCCTCTTGATTTTGCCCGTACCCATCTAGCAGCAGATGTGGGTAAAGCTGGAGCTGAAAGGGAATTACGAGACCTCAGCGACTGCCTGGTTAAGATCTACAAATCTGATGGGATTAAGGGCCTGTACCAAGGCTTTAACGTGTCTGTGCAGGGTATTATCATCTACCGAGCTGCCTACTTGGGTATCTATGACACTACAAAGGGAATGCTTCCGGATCCCAAGAACACTCACATCGTTATCAGCTGGATGATAGCACAGACTGTCACTGCTGTTGCCGGGTTGACTTCCTATCCATTTGAAACTGTTCGCCGCCGCATGATGATGCAGTCGGGGCGCAAAGGAACTGACATCATGTACACAGGCACACTTGGCTGCTGGAGGAAGATTGCTCGTGATGAAGGAGGCAAAGCTTTCTTCAAGGGTGCATGGTCCAATGTTCTCAGAGGCATGGGTGGTGCTTTTGTACTTGTCTTGTATGATGAAATCAAGAAATACACATAAGTTATTTTCTGGGAATTTTCCCCCTGTGAACAGGCATGTTGTATTATATAATGTATCTTGAACATTCTCGGCAGACTCCTGGCTGTCAGTTTATCTGTGGCAACTATTTACTGGTTGAAAATGGGAAGCAATAATATTCATCTGACCAGTTTTCTCTTAAAGCCATTTCCATGATGATGATGGGACTCAATTATATTTTTTATTTCAGTCACTCCTGATAAATAACAAATTTGGAGAAATAAAAATATCTAAAATAAAAAAAAGAAAAAAAGAAAAAATTGAATTAAAATTGAAGTGTGGTAAATCACAAAGTTATCTTTACTTTAAAGGAACTAAAATAGAATATATTAAGCTAGACATGGGCCAATAATACAAAACAATATTCCCTAGGAACATCTTACTGAACACTGTCTCTTATGTATAAAAATGTTTGTTCATATGTCTTGCATGCCATTTAGTTATAACTTTGCCATGGGTTGCATACTGTTTCACCATTGTCCTATGGAAAGCTCATTCCCTAAAAGATATCTTTATCAAATCATTGCTTCATTTTCAGTACTATTGATGTACCAATTAAAGACATGTAGTTAGATGTTAAATATATTGGAGAGTGACATCAGCAAGATGGCAGAATAGAGGTCCCTGCTCTAGTTCACCTCACAGAAACACCAGTTATCAACTATCCACAGACAAGAATGCCTTTGTGAAAAATCTCAGAACCTGAGAACAAGGCTAAAATGCATCCCCTTGGCATACAAAAATGGAGGAAAACTATATTAGAAAGGTAAGAGGAAAGGTTTCATTTTGTTGTAGCATAGCACCACACCAAAAGGGATCCCCTGAGCTGATGGTTTCTCTAGTGAGAAAAGAGATCCTAAAGTGAACATCAAGCTTCCCCAGTGTTCTGGAAAATTTTAAGTGGGCCAACTTTTGTCTTACCTCATGGAGACCAATGGGGGAATTGGCAGGGCTAGACAACCTGGGTCAGGTAGGAACAGAAAAAGGGATACATGGTTCACAGTGTGCTGACATTGGTGATGGCACTGCATTCTGCTGGCAGACATGCCCAACCAGGGAGCCCAGCCAGTGGCTTCCTGAAGCCTAATGGTCAGAAAATAGGTTGAATTTGAAGAGGTCTACATCAAGACACATTATAATTAAATTGTCAAAAGCCAAAGAAGAAGAATTTTGAAGGCATCAAAAGAAAAGTAAATTATCACATATAAGGGAGTCTCTATAAGACTAACAATGGTGCTTTTGGGGGCTTAATGTCAACAATCCTTAGTGTACCAATAGTAGCTGAGAAAGTTGGCTTTTAGGAGCTTAATATTTCTCAGCAGAAATATTGTAGAGAAGAAAATAATGGGATCATATATTCAAAATATGAAGAGAAAAAAAATCTGTTAACCAAGAATACTGTATCTGGCAAAGCTGCTGAAGGAGACAGAAATACTTTCCTGTATAAACAAAAGCTGAGGGATCTTATTATTATTAATTTATTGCCCTACAATAAATGCTTAAGGGAATTCTTTAAGCTAAAATGTAAGGATGCTAATTAACAACATAAAAGCATATGATTAAAACTTACTAATAAAAGTAAATATATATAGTCAAATCTGGAATTTTCTAATATTCTAATGGTGGTAGGTAAATCACTTTCAATACTAGTATAAAAGTTAAAATAAAGCATATTAAAAATTACTATAACTATAATTTATTAAAGGGAACACAATACAAAAATATATAAACCATAATATCAATCATCTAAAATGTGATGGGGAGGAAGTAAAAGCATAAAGTCTTTTTATTTACTATTGCCCAGGCTGGAGTGCAGTGGTGTGATCTGAACTCACTGCAACTGAGAGCCCACCCTGGCTCAAAGCAATCCTCCCACCTCAGCCTCCAAAGTAGCTAGGACTACAGGTGCACACCACCACACGTGGCTAATTTTTTTTATTTTTTGTAGAGATAGGGTTTCAGCATGTTGCCCAGGCTGGTCTTGAATTCCTGGGCACCAGCAATCTGCCCACCTTGGCCTCTCAAAGTGCTGGGATTACAGGTATGACCCACCATACTCAGCCCTTTGTATATGATTGAAGTTAAGTTGTCATCAACTTAAAATAGGATGTTATAAGATGTTTTATTTAAGCCTCATGGTAATCACAAAGGAAAAAACCTGTAGCAGATATGTAGAATATTAAAAGTAAGGAATCAAAGCACACCAGCACAAAAAGTCATCAAATCACAAAAGGAGATACAAGAGTTGGGTTAAACAGACTAACCTGGAATGTGGCAAAATCTTTAATTTATATTATATTTTTAAAAATCAAGGATGAGTTTCATAAACTTGGGTAACTACTCAAAGAATAGTAAAAAAATATATAATCACTCCTTGATATTTGTGGGAGATTGGTCCCTGGACCTCCCACAGATAGAAAAATTCATGGATGCTCAATTCCCTTATATAAAATGACATAGTATTTGCATGTAACCTATTCACATCCTCCCATATATTTTAAATCATGTCTAAATTACTTATTACCTAATGCAATGTAAATGATATGTGTTCAGTACAGGTACCACCCATTTAAAAAAATATTTTTGGCCTGTGGTTGGTTGAATCTGTAAATATGGAACCCAGAGATGTGGAGAGCTAACTGTGTAAACTAACAAGTTAATAAAGGGAAAAATGGAAAAATAAAATAATTCAAGAGAAGGGAAGAAGTAAATTTAAAAAGAGAGAATGAAAGCATAACAAGTTGGCAAATAAAGAAATAGTAAATGTTGATTTAACTAAAATAAAATATTATATTAAATATAAATGGGACAAATATTCAAATTAAAACAAAAAGATTGTGAGTTTAGATTTAAAATAATATATGCTGCTTATATGAGACACATCTTAAATATAAAGAAAAGTTGCAAGAAAAAGGATGGATACATAATACAAACACAAATGAAAATAAAACTGGTAAATTAATACCAAGCTAAGTAGATATTATGGCAAGATAAAGCAGCACATTGTAGCATGATAAAGGAGTTAATTCATGAGGAAGATAATCCAGTTCTAAATTTTTATGTTCCTAATAATGTAATTTCAAAATATATAAAGCACAGAATGACAAAACCTAATAGAGAAATAAATCCTCACCATAGAGATAACAACATATATCCTTCAGAAATTGCTAGAATAAGCAATCACAATTTATCAAGAATATTTGAACAACATAATTAACAGACAATTTACATATATAGAGCATTGATGTATGTTTCAGCAAAATTAAAACTTAAAAAAAACTGTTACCAGGATCTTCCCTGTGGATCATTAAGAAATAACTAGCTCTCCTGCCGTAAACAATTATTAAACTGGACAATATACATAAGGCTACTGTTTTCAAGGATTAGACAACAGAAAGCACAAGACTCTGATCCTTGAGAGAAGAAAAAATTATGAAGTGAGCCTAAGGACAATTTTCCAGTCACAGTTTAGGAAGCTAAAGCCCAGGAAGAACGCAGTTGTCACACGGAGCTGAGGCAGTTGTAGATTAGAGTTCAAGGCTGTTGAAGTGGATGGAATCTGATGGGCATAGTGCCAGTGAGAAGAGGGCTGAGTAGGATGTAAGGCAGAAGTCTATGGGGTTGGGGGCATGCTCTGAGTTCTGAGCCAAGGTTTAGATCGCAAGTGTTCAAAGTGATGCTACACTAGAAAGTGACTGCTACAGGACTGAAAGTGGAACAAAGGCACTAGGAAAAATACTTGGAGATGGATGAAAATGAAAACACAACATACCAAAACTGTGGAATGCAGTGAGAGTAGGACTCAGAGGAAAATTTGTAGATATAAATACTTACATTAAAAAAGATGGAAGAACTCAAATCAATAACCTCACATTGCACTTTGAGAACCTACAAAAGGAATAGCAAACTAAACACAATGCTGGTACAAGGAAGGAAATAAAGATTAAAGTGAAGATAAATAACACTTAGACATTTTGTAGAAAAACAATAGAGATATTAATGAAACCAAAACTGAATCCTTCAAAAAGATTAACAAAATTGACAAACCTTTAACTAGACTGACAAAGAAGAAAAGAGAAAAGATACAAATAACTAAAATCAGAGATGAAAGTGAGGTCATTACCACCAAAGTTACATAAATAGAAAGGTTTATAAGAGAACATTATGACAATTGTATGGCAACAGTATAATAACCATGATGAAATGGGGAAATTCCTAGAAACACAAATTACCTAAAATAACTCAAGAAGAAATATCAACAGGCCTATGACATGTAAAGAGATTGAATCAGTAACAAAAATTCTGTGTGTTTTGCAAATATAAGATCATATCATCCACAAGCAAGGATAATTTGACTTCCTCCTTTCCAGTTTGGATGTCCTTTATTCTTTAGTCTTGTCTAATTGCTTTAGCTAGGACTTCCAGTACTGTATTGAATAACAGTGGTGAAAGTGGGCATGTTTGTCATCATGTTCTGAATCTTAGAGGAAAGGTTTTCAGTTTTTCCTCACTCAGCATTATACTAGCTGTGGGTCTGTCATATATGGGTTTTATTATGTTAAGTTATGTTTTTCTTCTATCTCAAGTTTTTTGAGGGTTTATTTAGTCATGAAGGGATGTTGAACTTTACCAAATGCTTTTTCAGCATCAGCTGAAATGATCATATGTTTTTTGTCCTTTAGTCTGCTATTAGAATGTATCACCTTAATTGATTTGCATATGTTGAACCATCCTTGCATCCCAGGGATAAATCCCAGATGGTCATGATGAATGATCTTTTTAATGTATTGTTAAATTCAATTTGTTAATATTTTGTCGAGGATTTTTGCATCAGTATTAATCAGTGATATTGGTCTATAGTTTTCTTTTTTTATGTGTCTTTGTCTGATTTTGATATCAGGGTAATATAGACCTTGTAGAATGAATTTGGATGTATTTTCTTCTCCTCTATTTTTCAGAATACTTTGAGTAGGGTTGGTATTAGTTCTTTAAATGTTTGGTAGAATTTAGCAGGGAATACATCAGATCCAGGGATTTTCTTTGCTGGGAGAATTTTTATTATGACTTAATCTCATTACTTGTTACTGGTGTGTTCAGGTTTTGGATTTCTTCATGGTTCAATTTTGGTAGGTTGTATGTGTCTAGAAATTTGTCCATTCTTTCTAGATTTTCCAATGTATTGCCATTTTGTTGCTTATAGTAGCCACTAATGATCCTTTGAATTTCTTTGGTGACAGTTATCATGTCTTCTTTTTCATCTCTGATTTTATTTATTTGGACTTCATCTCTTTTATTCTTAGTTACTCTGGCTAATGGTTTGTTGATTAACTTTTTTTAAAAAACCAACTTTTTGTTTCATTGTTCTTTTCTATTTTCTTTATTTCAATTTCATTTATTTCTGCTCTAATATTTATCATTTCTTTTCTTCTCCCAATTTTGGGTTTGATTTTTTCTTGCTTTTCTAATTCTTTAAGATGCATTGTTAGATTATTTGAAGTTTTTCATTTTTGATGTGGCACTTACAGTGATAAGCTTCACTCTCAGTACTGCTTTTGCTATATCCCATAGGTTGTGGTATGTTGTGTTTCCATATCATTTTTTTCAAGAATTTTTAAAATTTTCTTCTTAATCTCTTCATTGACCCATGGTCATTCAGAAGCATATTGTTCAACTTCCATGTATTTGTACATTTTCCAAAATTCTTCTTGTTACGAATTTCTAATTTTATTCCATTGTTGTCAGATCTTCTGTATTATTTCAATTTTTTGAATGTTGTGAGACTTGTTTTGTGGCCTAACATATGGTCTATCCTTGAAAATAATCCATTTGCTGAAGAAAGAACATGTATTCTGCAGCCATGGATGAAATGTTCTGTAAATATCTATTAGATCCAGTTGGTTTATAATGTAGATTAAATCCAATGTTTCTTTGTTGATTTTCTGTCTAAAAGATCTGTCCAGTGCTGAAAGTGGGGTGTTGAAGTCTCCAGTTACTATTGTATTAGAGTCCATCTCTCTGATTAGCTCTAATAGTACTTGCTTTGTATATCTGGGTGCTCTAGCATTGGGTACATATATATTTAAAATTATTATATTCTCTTGTTGAGTCAACCTCTTCCTCATTATTTAGTGATCTTGTCTCTTATAGTTTTGTCTTAAAATCTATTTTGTCTGATGTAAGTATAGGTACTCCTGCTCTTTTTGGTTTCTTACTGGCATGAAATATCTTCTTCTATCCCTTATTTTCAGTCTGTGTGTCTTGATAGGTAAAGTGTATTTCTTGTAGGCAACAGATCAGTGTGTCTTTTTTTTTTTTTCTTGTCTATTCAGTGACGTTACATGTTTTGATTGGAGAGTTTAGTTCATTTACATTCGATGTTATTATTGATAAGTAAAGACTTACTCCTGCCATTTTGTTATTTGTTTTCTGTTTGTATTGTGGTCTTCTCTTTCTTCTTTTCTTCCTTCCTATATTCCTTTTGTGAAGGTGATTTTTTTGGGGTCATATGATTTAGTTTGTTTTTTATTTTTTGTGTATTCATTGTATGTTTTTTTTGTTTGAGGTTACCATGATGCTTGCAAATACTACTTTATAATCCATTATTTTAACCTGATAACTACTTAACACTTTTGCAGAAGCAAACAAACAAGCAAAAATAAAACAAATAAAGACTCTACACCTTAACTTCATTCCCCTGCTTTTAAGCTTCTTGTTGTTCCTATTTATATCTTTTTGTACTATGTCTTGAAAGTTGTAGTTATATTTTTGATTGGTCATTGTTTAGTCTTCCTACTTAAGAAAAGAACAGTTTACACACCACAGCTACAGTGTTGTAATATTCTCTTTTTCTGTGTACTTACTGTTGCAGTGAGTTTTCTACCCTCAGATGATTTATTATTGCTCATTAACATCCTTTTCTTGTAATAGCAAAAAATCAGATACAACCTCAACATTCATCTACGGGAGAATGGATCAATTCATGTTGGAATAACATTATAATAGAATAATAAACAGTAGTGCAAATGAATGAAGAAGAGCTTCATGTTTCAACACAGGCAAATCTTTTTTAAAAAGCAAAAGAAAAAAGTTGAATTAAAAATGCAAGTGGCAAAGGAAACTCACATTATGATATGAGATATATAAACTTTAAATTTATGCAAAACTACTTCACATGTGCATGTACAATGTACATGGGAATTGTAAACACTGTATTTAAGACAGTGGTTCACATGAGGCAAAGGTGAGAGAATAATAGGGCTGAAGATAAGGAGAGTTTCACAGGACATTTTTACTACAACAATAGTGTTTATTCCTGAAGCTGGATGGGATACATAAATGTCAGTGGTATCTTCATCAAAATGTTACATCCCTGTAATATTTTGTAATTTAACAAAAAAATGAGAGAAACTATTCAAAATTATTCGATAAATTTACTCAGAGAAGAGAAAATTGTTTAGTTCAGGAAACAAGAATAATACTTCCCTACTCTTGGTTGTATGTGACTTTTGTCTTTGCTATTTCTATAAATGGTCTAGTAGGTATGCCATAACCTTTGAAAATGAATTATATAAACTTATTTTCCCCTTCCTAAAAAAAGCTCACGGGTAGACATTTTAATTATACTTTTATTACTGACAGTCTTTGTTCAGCTGAACATACCTCACTGGACCTTAGTTTTCTTGGTGAAATTTATATCCATAATACACAATAATTCGTAGCCTTTGTCACATTTTATGGTTATTCAAATTTGCTTATATTCCCCTCTTTTTTCCAAGGAGGGATTATCGATGTCACTGAACCGGACACTGTCTTGCAAAACATGGGGATGAAACTCACAGGAATGGAAAGTAAAGCCTTGATAGAGAACTTACTTGTTGATGGTGAGCATTTAAACTTTTGAACTGATAGAGATAACATGAGAATGTGAACATCTATATAATCACCTCTATAAAAAAGTTTGCCATTAAGAAAACATTTATAAAAACTTGGAAATGAACTCAGAAAGAAAATAAGGTGATATTCTTGTAGTTTTATGAACATATGTCAGCGACTCCTTTAAATTTGAATTTAAAGGAATGCTGAACACGTAGACAGGACTGACCACATATTGTATAATTCAATTTATATGAAATATCCATAAATCAATTGAGACAGAGAGTAGTTTAGATTCCCTACCAGGGGCTGGTTACTATAGGCTAATGGAGATGAAATTTGAGGTAATAAAAATGTTCTTATATTAGATTGTGATGATATTCACCTAGCTCTGTGCATATGCTTAAAAAAACAACACCATATACAATTGTACACTTTAAATGGGTGACTAAACACAGTGGCTCTTGCTTGTAGTCCCAACATTTGAGGAGGCTGAGGCAGGAGAAGAGCTTGAGCTCAGAAATTTGAGACCACCCTGGGCAACACAGTGAGACCTCTACTAAACATTTTTAAAAATTATCTCTAGTAAAAGTTTTTATTTTTTTAATTATCGGGCCAGGCACAGTGGCTCATGCCTATAATCCCAGCACTTTGGAAGGCTGAGGCAGGTGTATCACAAGGTCAAGAGATCAAGACCATCCTGGCCAAGATGGTGAAACCCCATCTCTACTAAAAATACAAAAATTAGCCAGGTGTGGTGGTGTGTGGCTGTAGTCCCAGCCAGTCCGGAGGCTAAGGCAGGAGAAGCACTTGAATCCAGGAGGCGGAGCTTGCAGTAAGCCTAGATGGCGCCACTGAACTCCAACCTGGCGACAGACCAAGAAGAAATTCTATTTCTATCACAGTTAATGATAATCAACAATTAACTCTCTAGTAATAGACACCAGTGAAAAGGAAATCAGTAAATTGCTTAAAATAATGATCTTAAGGAAATTCAATGAGATACCAGAAAATGCAGAGACAGTTTGATGAAATCATGACAATTCATGATATGAAGGAGAAATTCAATAAAGAGATGGAAATCATAAAAAAGAACCAAACAGAAATCCTGCAGCTTAAGAATTCAGTAGACAAAATTTAAAAATATAGTACAGAGGCTCAACAACAAACTTAATCAAGCAATAGAATATCTGAATTTGAAGATAAGTCATTTGAAATTACCCACTCAGAGAAAAAAAGAAATAAGAATGAAAAAGAGTGAGAAAAGCCTGTAATACTTATGGGATACCGTTAAATGAACAAATACTCAAATTATGAGAGTTCCAAAGGAGACAGGGCGGGAAAAGGCACAGAAAACCTGTTAAATGAAATAGCTGAAAATATACCAAGCCTTGTGAGAGATACATGTAACCACATTGAGGAAGCTCAAAGATTAACAAATAGATTCCACCCAGAAAGTCCTCCTTGAGGCATATAATAGTACTTACTGAAATATATATTAAGTATAAAAAGAACTTCAAAGGAATCTTAAACTTCAGTTAATACTTTTATCATTAATAATAATATTAAAGTGTAATATTGTGACTATTACAGGTAGTTACAGAGTAAAACAAATATTAAATATTTGATAAATAAAAGGAACCAAGACATTTCAGCCTTTTTTCAAGATATTTCAGTGTTGGAAAGAAAAGATACAAGTATAAAATCAAAAAAGTTATGAAAAACATGTAATTGTGAAATTTGAACCACAACTATCACTACAAAATCATGGTGGTTTGTTTGTATGCTTGCCTATTTGTTTTAAATAGGAATTTCCTTTACATTCCTAAAAAGGATTTTAAAGGATTTGAAAACCAATGACAGCTTAATTTTGGTGAGAACATCTAGTCCTCAGATTGTTGTTTCTTAATAATTTCCATACTGAAAAGAGCCCCAGAGCTCCTTGGAGAAAGGCTGCTTCTGGATCTGAGGTAGGGAAAGTACAAAGTGAGTGTGGGATATATTCAGAAAGCAAAGAAGCATTCAAAGATTAAAGTGTGCATGTCCAAAAAAACAGGAGTCAGCATGGATAGACTACCACTGGTCACATTTACCACAATCTAAGCATTAAAAGAAAGATTGGAAGGACTGGGAGGCCAAGGCGGGCAGATCACCTGAGGTCAAGTGTTCGAGACCAGCCTGCCCAACATGGTGAAACCTTGTCTCTACTAAAAATACAAAAAAATTAGCCAGGTGTGGTGGCATGCACCTGTAGTCCCAGGTACTTGGGAGGCAGAGGCAGGAGAATTGTTTGAACCCAGGAGGCAGAGATTACAATGAGCTGAAATCACGCCACTGCACTCCAACCTGGGTGGCAGAGCGAGACTCCATCTCAAAAGAAAAAGAAAAAGAAAGAAAAAAAACCAGGGAGGGAGGGAGAAAGAAATGCCTATAATTTGCTATATATCATTGGAAAAAAATTCCATGACTCCATAATGATTCTAGTTTATTTGAAATATAAGGAATAAAAAGCAGGTTAAATAATACCACAAAGAAAAAAATTAGATAAATTCAGAATGTGAGACATCCTACAAGAAAACTGGCCTAGTCTTTTTAAAAAGTCAGTGTTCAATGTTAAAAAGAAATTGTGGGGAGCCTTTTTCTTTTTTTTTTTTTTCTTTTTCACAGAATCTCCCCCGTTGTCCAGGCTGGAATGCAGTGGTATGATCTTGGCTCACTACAACCTCCCCCTCCCAGTTCAAGTGATTCTTCTGCCTCAGTCTCCTAAGTAGCTGGGATTACAGGTGTGCACCATCACCACTGGCTAATTTTCATATTTTTAGTAGAGACGGGATTTCACCACGTTGGCCAGGCTAGTCTCGAACTCATGACCTTAAGTGATCTGCCCATATCAGCCTACCAAACTGCTGGAATTACAGGAGTGAGCCACCATGCCCAGCCAACTTTTAGATTTAAAGAGACAAAGAGAATAACTAAATGCAATATGAGCCTTTGACAGAAACAGCTGTAACAGATGCTTGCGGGACACTTAAGAAAAATATTTTAAAATAAGAACAAGACGTAAGATGATACAAAGGGATTATTGTTAATTCTCTTAGGTGTGACTATGCTATATATTTATCAACAATGTCACATAGGCGAATATCCTATTTTTAGATTAATTGCATGCTGCAGTGTTTAGGGATACTAAGTTATGATGTGCACAACTTACAGTCAAATGACTGAGGGAAGAAAAATGTATTTATATATATACTCATGAAGAAAAACATATTTATACATATTCTCTTATATATATAAAGAGTATATATATACTCATACATATGGAAAGACACTATGAGAGAGAAAAAGTAAACTATGGTGAGATGTTAATATTATTTCATGTAAGTGGTGTTGGTTCATTGTACTATTCTTTCAATTCTTCTGAATGTTTGGAACTTTTCTTATTATAAAATGTTGGGGAAAAAACATAGTGCTGAGTAGTATGAAGTACCTTAAATGTGAATGAAATGTAATAAGAAGACAGATGAATATATGGTACTCATTTGGCCTTTATGTCATTCACTAATGATTACATTGTGAATCCTGCAACCTCTCCAACACATAGATTCCATGTGATTTTTTAAAAACAGATTTATCTTTATTTAACCAGATAATCAACCATATTGTTTAGAAATGTATCCCATACTCTCTTAGAGTTTATAAACTTAGTGGGGAAGATGTAATTACATGTCAAAAAAGTTAATGAAAAGATGAGCTAGTTATATAAGGAATTTAGGTAACTGTTGTCTGATATCTTTCTGAGATTAAATGACAAAAGATAAATGAAATGTTTGGTATGATGTCCGGTACCAAAAAAAAAAATACATCTCTGTAAATATTAGCTATCATCATCATTAGTAATAGTAGTATTGAGAGATTACTTTTTAATCCTATGTATTGGTCAAAAATATGTTAATTATTGCCCCAAGTTTTCATCCACTGATCAGTTAATTGGTTTAAAGAAAAGATCCTAATTTTAATTCCATTGTCAATTTCATTTATGTATTTGATTCAATGAATTTTTTCTCTTTATGTTGAAAAGTATAATCAAGATGCATAGGAATTAAGTTTTTTCAGTGTAGAACAGATGTTTTAAAGCTAGATTTCATGAACACTTATGAGGTCCATGGATGGTCTTTAGCACATCCTCCTAAATCCTAATGCCCAGCTTATAAAAATGCATATTTGTGGAGATATAAGATCCACAGCTTTTCTCAGATTCTCAATGAGTATGTGTCTCAAAAAAAAAACTTAGAATTTTTTTTTTTTTTTGAGTCACTGCATTTTCCTCACAGGCTGTCTATTTCTGATTAGGGAAGGTTGACATAAAAAACCTGGACACCATTCTAGACAACATGGGAATCAAGCCCACGGATAAAGAACTTGAAGATCTGAAACAAAGCCTACCAGTCGGTGGTGAGCATGCTAGATATCACTGGTTTTTTGAGCTTTATGTTTTATGGACCTTTAGCATTAGAAGGAAAGGGAAAATAATTTTTTTTTTAACTGAGTCTTGCTCTGTCTCCAGGGCTAGAGTGCAGTGGTGTGATCTCGGCTAACTGCAACCTCCGCCTCCTGGGCTCAAGCGATTCTCCTGTGTCAGCCTCTCATGAAGCTGGGATTACCGCAACTGCTGCCACACCCAGCTAATTTTTGGATTTTTAGTAGAGATGGGGTTTCACCATGTTGGTCAGGATTGTTTCGAACTCCTGACCTCAGGTGATTCACCCACCTAGACCTCCAAAATGCTGGGATTACAGGTGTGAGCCGCCACACCCAGCTGGAAAGGAGATCTTTTTATAGTGAAAGTTCAAATAAGACAGAGTAACAAAGTTGGAAATGTAGTATTTTGAGTACTAGCGGCATGATCAATACAAGAGCTTTCCAAATTCTGAGGACAAGAAACCTGGCCCCTAGGAAAAAGCCACTTTTGAATTCCATCTTTCCATTATCAAATATAAGATTTGCTATTTTATGGGTTAGAAAGTCAAAGTTACATTTTCTAAATAAGTTTATTTTCAATATTTATAATTGTTTCTTCATGTTCATTACATATTCTGAGTAAATATTTATCAAATGGCTAAAGTGCTTAATAAAATGCCCGGTATACTTAATAACTGCTCCTACTAGGTGTTAAAACCATAGAGGGAGAAGACATTCTTATGATATAACATTTTATGAGCTTCAAATTATGCATTTGTGTTATAGCTGATAATCAAGTAGCTCTGAAAGCATTGGAGGATGAAGTGAAAGCTTTTACTGGTAAGCATTTGTTATAAATGATTTGCAACAAATAATTGTTTACACTAAAATTTTTAATAGTATCTTTCTAATATTATATTCATAACATAAATTCACATCTTTTCAATATTTTGACAAAATATCTACATTTACAGACTAACACATTAACAGTATTTGTATTCTATCGGTAAAACAAAAAACTATTTCTTGATAACATTTTACATTCTTTAGTACTTTCTTCCCATAAAATGATTTCACCGGTATTTATAGGCCAAAAAAACTAGATGGACCCAGTAATAGCAGAGTGAAGCATTAAAAGCATCAAAGTAATAAATTCACTGCAAGCATCTAACCACATAGTTTTAACAAATATAAAACATGTCATACTTTCTTGTATACCTTATTATACTAACCATCCTAATCTTAATAATTACATGACCAAATTTTCTTCTGTGCTATCTGGTATTATTCCCAGTATTAAGAATATATCCCATTTACTCATATTAAGAGATAAATTCTATTTTCAGTTTCCCATTTCCGTATTTTTATCAAGAAATCTCATATTCTCATTCCTCTTCATCCTTGTATTAGAGAAAAGGCTATACCAGCACAAGTGTACTTTTACATAACTTGAAATAATTTGATTGTTCCTTAATACTTTACTTAAGAATATTTCATTTTTTTAAAGGAGAAAAGATTGATGCTGGTGATCTACAGAGTATTCTAAAACACATGGGGATCGAGCTTACAGATAAGGAGCACAAGCAACTGCTAAAAACATTGCCCATTGATGGTAAGCCACGTAAATGCCACATGCCTTCCAGGAAACTTAATTTAATGGGCCTGTGTAAGCAGCTCTCAATCTTTTAATAGGATAATTTCTCCTAAAAATGCCATAGGTTAATAGAAAGGCACTTTTGACTTGAAAAGAAATTGTCATTACCTCTTCGAATACAATTTGAGTCATCTCTATGTTGTCAAATAGTTGTCTAGGTGACAAATATTACTCCCTCAGGTTAGTATTAAGTTTACAATCTGAGCAGTGAAAAAGAGAGGAATAGAACAACACTAGAATAGAAAGAAGAAGGAAGTATTTGATACATGTTTTAGTGTTCCAACATAGAAGAGACAGACTAATAAATGTCTGTAATACCAAAGAATGAATAGGTTTGTCACTGTGTATTTCCATTCTTAAATGTCAATATTGTGTGACTATAAAATAGATTAATTTTAAAAGCAAATCATTAAAATGTATCTTTCTGCAGTTCTCTAATTTGTAATGTTTTGGTGAATCTCCATTATTAATTTCCCAGAGATCTGAATTGTACCTTTTCTTACAGCTAATGGAAAGGTGTTCCTAAATAGGTTGCTGAAAGATGTGACGTATAATAAGCGTGAGTAAGCTCAATGAGAACATATATGAAAATTTTAAAGTGTTAAATTTATGTTAATAGAATATTTTATTTTGCTTATTGTGACACATCTCTATTTTTTCTGGTAATAGCCTATACTTTATCTTAGAAGGAAATTCTCTACTGCTTTGTAATTTTCAAACTTTCTCTGAAAAACCATTCCTGTGAACATAAATAAAAGAAAGATATATAGACAGACAGAAAGAAGGAAACACAGGAAGACAGGAAGGGAAGGAAGAAGGGAGTGAGGGAAATGTTTGGCTATATATTCTAAAATTTGACCAGAAATGGTGAAAATCTGAGAGTGAGAGTTTAGGAAACATACAATCTCTTTTTTGTAGAAATTATAGATTAGTGCTCTCAGGTTATGGTTGCTTAACCCCTGCACCACATAACCTTTCCATGGGTAGGTATGTTTAAGGGTTGAGGAAACAGGTTCTAATTTTAACTCTGCTTTTAACCTCTGTGGAGTAGAACAAATCAACAAATCTACTATACTTTTGTTCTTTTCATGAAAATATTAGCAATTGTTATAAAGGTTATAAAGTTGTTCTCTTTTAAATTACTATACAGACAGTCATTTACTATGACAGCAAATATATATACACCAGACAGCAATTGTATATATATACATATATATAAATATACATACACTTGACAGTAAATATTTATATATGTGTATATATGTACATATATATGGGGTTAATATTCAGTTGTATAAGAAACTTGACAGCCAATATATATATATATAGATAGTATACATATGTACATAGTATATATATATATATATATATACATATATAGATAGTACAGTCATGTACTATAACTATCTGTATAGTCATTTACAGATAATATAGTCATTTTCAATGACTATATAATCATTTAAAACTAACACCTGTTAGTTGAACATAATAATATACATATATTATCAATATACTTTTAATATTTTAGAATATTAGAATTGAAAATAGTTAATATTTTAGAGTTATTTCATTTTTCTCCCTTTGCTTTTATGTTCAAAACAAGGAAAGGTTAATGTAAATAATCTGGATGCTATCTTGGAAGTCATGGAAGTCAAGCTTAGAGAAAAGGAACTTGATATGATAAAAGATCTCCTGAGTAATGATGGGCATTATGGGAAATACTGTGATTGATTTATTTATTTATTTGAGTCAAGATCTCACTCTGTCACCCAGACTGGAATGCAGTGGCACGATCTCCACTCACCGCAACCTCTGTCTCTCAGACTGAAGTGATTCTTCTCCCCCAGCCTCCCAAGTAGCTGGGATTACAAGCGTGCACCACCACAGCCTGGCTAGTTTTTGCATTTTTGTAGAGATAGGGTTCACCATGTTGGCCAGGCTGGTCTTGAAAAACCTCAAATGATCCACCCGCCTCAGCCTCCCAAAGCACTGGGATTACAGGTATGAGCCACCATGCCCAACCTGAGAAACACTGTGATTTTAAACAGTCTGAGCTTGCAGGATTAATTATGACTATTTCAAAATTTTAAATGAGTTGTTGCCCAAAAGACATTTGAATAGCCATCAGAAGAACCCATAAAAAAACAAACAAGGCTCTTCATTTTTATTTCTTTAAAACATGCAATTACTTTCTTTATGCATCATGGGGTAGGGCACAGTTGCTGGTGAGGAGGGGAAGAATTATTGTTTTATAAAATTAGGATTTACAACCTGTTTTTCATCACTGATCCATATACTATTGTTGCCAATCCAGGGTATAACCCAATTTGTTTGGCCAGAACTCATTCCTCTACTAATAGATATTGAGGTGCTTTCTTTTTACTTTTTTGTGACCATAATAAATAAGTTACAGAGAAATATATATTGTATTATTGATTTTTAAAAATATGTATACCTTTAGGCCAGGCACAGTGACCCACACCTGTTGTCCCAGCAATTTGGGAGACCGAGGCAGGGGCATCACTTGAGCCTAGGACAACATAGTGAAAGCCTATCTCTACAAAAAGCATTCAAAAATTGCCAGGCATGGTGGGTACACACCTGCAACCCTTGATGCTCAGGAGGCTGACGTGGGAGGATCATCTGAGCCCAGGGTGGTTGAGGCTGCAGTGAGCTATGATCACACCACTGCACTCCAGCCTGGGAGACAGAGTGAGAGTATACTATATATGTATATATGTAACTATATATATATATATAAAAAACTATATATATATAACTATATATATATATTATAGTAGTATTATATATGTATATAAAATACCTTTATAAGCACAAGAAAAGTCTAGAAGGATATATGCCAAACTGTTAGTAATGGTGGATGTGGCAATGAAAATGAGAAGAGGTGAAAGAAGGAATTATTTACTTTTTCCCTGTATGCTTGTGTATTTTTTAATTTATTATACAAACTATGTCTTAAATTATAAGTTTTAAACTTGATTTATTTTGTTTTCTTAATTTAAGATAGATATCAATGATATAAAACTATTGAAATATAGTTGAGTTCTTAGCCACCATTTGGTTCAGGGGATTACTAAACTGATCACATAAGTAATTAGTTCCTAATTTAACACTATTCTCTGCCTGTTGCATGAACATTAGGCAATGCAAGATAAAAATCTTTACACATATTGAGAAATATGCATAATTTCAATGAGTAAGTGAAAGTAAAGTTGGAGGACTGCTCAAATCGGACACAAAGCCACTGAAAGTATGGACCTGACAGAATTAGACCATTTAATAATTGAAGAAAATTCCCTGTGAATAGTGACTTGAAAGGCCATTTAAAATAGCATGATTTGGACTTCAAAGGAGTTAGAAGAATCCTCAAGAAAAAGGTCAATCACTTTTGCAAAAATTACTTTTTATATGTTTCAAAGTTTAAAAAGATGCTGGCTGGACAAGGCGGCTCACACCTGTAATCCCAGCACTGTAGAAGGCCAAGGCCTGCAGATCACATGAGGCCAGGAGTTCGAGACCAGCCTGGCCAACATGGAGAAACCCTGTCTCTACTAAAAATACAAAAGTTACCTGGGTGTGGTGGCTGTTGCCTGTAAGCCCAGCTACTAGGGAGGCTGAGTCAGGAGAATCGCCTGAACTCGGGACACAGAGGTTACAGTGAGCCAAAATTACACCACTGCACTCCAGCCTGGGCAACAGAGCAAGACTCCATCTAAAATAAATAAATAAAATAAAATAAAAATAAAGATGCTATAGTATGTAGTGATATAATTTTGCCAGGAAATCATACCATAACATACTTTTAAAAGTCAGCATGTATTCATTGCTATTGAACCTTTATATCATTTTTATTTATTATTTACTATTAAATCTTGGTCCTCATTTTAACTGGATTTATTTTCATTGATCATTCAACAATAAATCTTCCATAAAAAGAACCTCCTGTACTATATGTCTTTTTTCAGAGTCCATGTTATTGCTTTTCTCTGTTAAACTTTATCTTACAGCCTACGAGAATGTTGATCTGAAAAACCTGACGGATACTGTAGAAGCTGTTACAGGTGAGGAAGAAGCGACCAAATATATATTATTCTGATTTTTTCAGTGAACTCATTTTACTTTTCTTAAATTAAACATTTTAAAAGAACTATATTTTGTTTTTAAAAGACTGCTCAAAGCACATGAAAACACACTTTATTTAAGGACAAAAAAGAATTCTAGATTTATGACTAAGAATATCAGACAGTTATTTTCACTTGTTTTGTTAAGCCTTTTGATTGATTAAAGGTCCACGTTCATTATTATTATTATTATTATTATTATTATTTTTGAGATGGAGTCTCACTCTGTCACCAGGCTGGAGCTCAGTGGCACCATCTGGGCTCACTGCAACCTCCGCCTCTCAGGTTCAGGTGATTCTCCTGTCTCAGCCTCCCAAGTAGCTGGGACTACAGGCACATGCCACCACACCCAGCTAATTTTTATATTTTTAGTAGAGAGAGACCGGGTTTCACCATGTTGGCCAGGATGGTCTCAATCTCTCTACCTTGTGATCCGCCCCCCTTAGCCTCCCAAAGCCCTGGGATTACAGGCGTGAGCCACCACATGTGGCCGAAGTTCATTCTTATTCAACCTTATAATTATCTTCAGCCATGAATACTGAGAAAATTAGCAATGGAAACCCTAATGCTTGAGAGTATACTTTTCATACATGTAATCAACTGTTTACTGATCACATAAATACTAAATGTTATTTATAAAGTAAATATAAATACTAAATGTATATGATTCCAATTCTTTACACATATTTTATAGGTGTTCCTGTTATTAAAGTCTTTTTAAATTAAGCTGTTTTTTAAAAATAATTTCAACTTTTATTTTAGATTCAGGGGGTACATGTTCAGGTTTGTTACATGGGCATATTGTGTGATGCTGAGGTTTGGGGTACAAATGATCCCATCACCCAGGAAGTGAGCTTAGCATTCAATAGGTAGTTTTTCAACCCATGTCTCTCTCCCCACCACATCTAGTAGTCCCTAGTTCTATTTTTGCCCTTTTTATGTCCATGTGTACCCAATGTTTACCTCACTTATAAGTGAGAACATACTGTTTCTGTACTAATTTGCTTAGGATGGCCTCCAGCTCCATCCATGTTGCTGCAAAGATCATAATCTCATTTTTTATGGCTTCATAGTATTCTGTGGTATGTATGTACCACAGTTTCTTTATCAGAATTTCTTTACCATTGATGGGCACCTAGGCTGATTCCATGCATTTTCTGTGGTGAACATAGGAGTGTCTGTATCTTTTTGGTAGAACAATTAATTTTCTTCTAGATAAATACCAAGTAATGGGATTGCTGAGCTGAGTGGTAATTCTGTATTAAGTTTTTTGAGAAATCTCCAAACTGCTTTCTACAGTGGCTGAACTAATTTACATTCCAACCAACAGTATGTAAATATTCTCCTTTCTCCACAACCTTGCCAGCATCTGCTGTTTTTGACTTTTTAATAAAGGCCATTCTGACTGGTGTGAGATGATATCTCATTGTAGCTTTGGTTTGTATTTCTCTGATGACCAGTGATGTTGAGCATTTTTTTTTCCATATGCTTGTCGGCTGCATGTATGTCTTCTTTTGAAAAGCAAATGGTCTTTTGCCCACTTTTGAATGGCATCATTTGTTTTTGTCTGTTGATTTCTTTAAGTTACTTAGAGATTCTAGATATTAGACTTTTGCTATATGCATAGTTTGTGAATATTTTCCCCCATTCTATATAAGTCATCTGTTTACTCTGCTGATGGGTTTGCTTGCTGTGCAGAAGCTCTTTAGTTTAATAAGGTCCCATTTGTCAATTTTTGTTTTTGTCACAATTGCTTTTTGAGTCATAAATTATATTCCAAGACCAGTGTTCAGAATGGCATTTCCTAGATTTTCTCCTAGGATGCGGATAGGGGTTTTTTTGTTGTTGCCTGGGATTTTTTTCTTGAAACGGTCTTACTTTGTTACCCAGGCTGGAGTGCAGTGGTACTGTCAGAGCTCATTACAGCCTCAACCTCCTGGGCTCAAGCAGTCCTCCCCCTTTAGCCTCCTAAGGAGCTGAGACTACAGACACACACCATCACAGGGTCTCACTATGTTGCCCAGGATGGTCTTGAACTCCTGGGCTCAAGGAATTCTCCTGCCTTGGCCTCCCAAAGTAGGATTCTTATAGTCTGATGTCTTACATTTAAATCTTTAATCCATCTCAAATTACTTTTTATATATGGTGAAAGGTAAAGGTGCAGTTTCATTCTTCTGCATATAGCTAGCCTGTGCTGACAACTACCATTCTGATAAAGGGCTAGCCAGTTATCACAGCACCATTTATTGACTAGGGCCTTCTTTCTCCATTGTTTCTTTTTGTCGACTTTGTTGAAGATCAGGTGGCTGTTGATTTTCTGGGTTCTCTATTCTGTTCCATTGGTCTATGTGTCTGTTCTTGTATGTGTACCATGCTGTTTTAGTTACTGTAGTCTTATAGCATAGTTTGAAGTCAGGTAATGTGATGCCTCTAAGTTTGCTTTTTTTTTTTCTAATTAAGCTTTTTTTTAATGAAATTATTGTGTCCAGTTTCCTAGACTTTATCTTTGACTTATCAATGTTTTAGCAACAAAACATAAATGGCATGTTTTATTAATAAGCCTGTAACATCACCTTTTCCAGATTAATCAAAGATATTTATTTAGCATTAATAGAAGATGTAATTATTGTTTAGAATAATTAGGTAGTCCTTTAAAATCTCATGTGTTACCATTCTATGTGTTTGAAGGAGAGGAAGTTGATGTCGATGACATGAAAACAATTCTAGGAAACATGGGGATAGAGCTTACAGATAAAGAACTCACAGAACTGGTAAATAATCTGCCAGTTGATGGTGAGTATTTCAAATAAAAATGTAGTCTTCCAGGGAAGCTTATTGTTAAATTGTGAAAACTTCTAAAATTATATAACTTTAAAAATAATCTATGACCCATAAAAAATGACCCCATTATATTTTAAAAGGTTATTTGTGCCATTCAACTTTTAGTTTGAGGATCAACAATTGTATCATCATGTTTTCTGGCATCAGTGTTCAGTTATGTCTTTTATTACTTTTGATTCTACTGAAAGATCAAAAATTTAAGCCAGAATAAATGAGAAAAAGAACGGAAAGGGAGTGATCTAATAGGGGAAAATGGAAATATCACAAAATAAGAAGAAAGGATATGTTTTGTCATGGTAGAGTTGCAGTATTAACTGCCTGTGTTAATAAAGTTACAACTTTCTCCAAACTGTGTATGATTTCATTGATTTTCAGTAAGTTAGAAAATTTCTAAGGTAGTTCATAAAGTATGTCTTTCTGAAATTCCTGGTTTTGTATTTTCTGTAAAGCCCCACATTCCTCTTGTGTGATCTGAACGATGCTTCTTCTTACAGATGGAAAGGTCTATCAGAAAAGATTGCTGGATGCTATAAAGTTTCTTAAAGGTAAGGGAGATGCTTAATATAATGCTGATTAATCTAAGATGATAATGTTTGGCATTTACGTAATTTCCTTGTGATTAAATTGTGCATCCTGCCACATAACATGTATGTTATTACATACTTTTGTTTCTTTTATACTTTACCCTCTACTTTAAGAGATCACTTCTTATGGTGTAACTCAGAAAGAATTCCCATGCTTTCTTGGGATTTTTCAAACTTTGACAGAAGAAATTATTACAGCCAAGGCTACACCACAAAAAGTAAAGGGAAATTACTTTTTTAACTTAAATAAAATGTTAATTGAATTGCTTATAGGACAAAGAATAAATGTTTGAGGGAATGGATACTCCATTTTACGTAATGTGATTATTAAACATTGCATGGCTGTATCAAAACATCACATGTACCCTATAAATATTGGCACCTACTAATAAGTACTCACAAAAATTAAAATTTAAAAAAATTCATGGGGCAGGGCCAAGATGGTTGATTAGAAGCAGGAGTGTTCAGAGGTGTCCATCAAAAAAAAAAACCATAATAAACATGTAAATCCATCACCAGCAACCAAGGTTTCCAGGTTCTCTCATCAAAATTGACTAGAAGGCTGGTGTGACTCATGGAGAGAAGGAAGAACAGTGTGGTGTGGTGGCCCACCTGTAAGCAACATGGGAAAGGAGAACCCCCTGCCCCCAGCCAAGGTAGGCAGTGAGTGAGCTTGCTACCCAGCCAGGGAAACTGCTTTTTCCATGGAACTGTGCAACCCACAGATTGGAAGATCCCACTTATGAACCCATGCCACCGGGGCCTAGCATCCCAACCTTGGAATGCACAGATTCTTACAGCCTCTCAACTGGAATCTGCTTAAGCCTACTGAAATCCCTGTGGGGAAGGATGGCCAGCACCAGCTGCAGCTGCCTGTTGTCTAAACCATTTGAGCTCCTTATGGGAGGGGCAGCAGCCAGCACTGGGACTTGCAACTGCCTAGCTTGCTAAGCTCCCTGGGTGGGGGAAGGGTGGCACCCATTTCTATAGCTCCAGGCTGTGCTTTTCCCCTCCTGGCACCAGGGAGGCAACATACCAGCTGTGACAGCTTACGGCCAGAGTGCCTCTGCAGGCCTAACACTGACGCATCCTTCCTAATTGGGTGTGACTTCCCTGCAGGATCTCCAATAACTCCAGCTAGAGGCTCAGGGGCAGAATTCGGATCTCTCTGGGCCTGAATCCCTAAAGGGAGGGGTAATCGCAGTCTCTGCAGACCAGCAGACTTGGCCTCTCTCCCTGGCAGTTCTGAGGAATCGGCAGCACAGATGAGTGGGTTTCCCCTAGTGAAGCATACCCTCTCCACCAAGGGATAAAGTTATTCATTAAACGGGTCCTGCTGCTAATGCCACCCAACTGGGTTAGACCCTCCAACAGGGGTTGTCAGATACTCTATACAGGAGCGATCCTACTGGCATCAGGTGCCCATTGAGATCAGAGGTTCCAGAAGAAGGAGAGCACACACCCATTTTTGCTGTTCTCCAGTCTCTTTGAGTGACATCTCCAGGCACAGGAGCAAATCAGATGAATAGAGCCTGAAGTGAATCCCCAGCAAACTGCAGCAGCCCTACAGAAGAGAGACCTGACTATTGAAAGAAAATCAGAAAGTGACAACAACAGCATCACCAGCAACAACAACAAAAAGGCCCTCACAAAAACCTCATTCAAGTGTCAGCAGCCTCAGAGACTGAAACAAGAAAAACAAAGATGAGAAGGAGTCAATGAAAAAAATGCTGAAAACCCAAAAGACCAGAGTGCCTCTTCTCCTCCAGATGATCTCAGTGTCTCTCCATCAACAGTGCAGAACTGGACAGAGGATCAAATTGATGAATTGACAGAAGTAAGCATCAGAAGATGGGTAATAAAACTATGATAAGCTAAAGGAGCATGTTCTAACCCAATGCAAAGAAGCTAAGAACCTTGATAAAAAGGTTAGAGGAATTGCTAACCAGAATAATCAGTTCAGAGAGGAACATAAATGACCTGATGGAGCTGAAAAACACAGCACAAGAACTTCATGAAGCATACACAAGTATGAACAGCTGAATTGACTAAGCAGAAGAAAGAATATCAGAGTTTGAAGACCACCTTACTGAAATAAAACAGGCAGAAAAAAATAGAGAAAAAAGAATGAAAAGGAATGAACAAAGCCTTCAAGAACTAGGGAACTTCATTTAAAAAAATACCAAACCTACAATTGATTGAAGTACCAGAAGGAGACAGGGACAATGGAAACTAGCTGGAAAACACACATCAGGATGTTATCCAGGAGAACTTCCCCAACCTAGCAAGACAGGCCAGCATTCAAATTCAGAAAATACAGAGAACATCACTAAGATACTCCTTGAGAAGAGCAATCCCAAGACATATAATCATCAGATTCTCCATGGTTGAAACAAAGGAAAAGAATGTTAAGAGCAGCCAGACAGAAAGGTCAGGTTACCTATAAAGGGAAGCCCATCAGACTAACAGCGTATCTCTCTGCAGAAACCCTACAAGCCAGAGAAGAGTGGGAGCCAATATTCAACATTCTTAAAGGAAACAATTTTCAACCCAGAATTTCATATTCAGCCAAACTAAGCTTCATAAGCAAAGGAGAAATAAAATCCTTTCCAGCAAGCAAAGGCTGAGGTACTTTGTCACCACCAGGCCTGCCTTACAAGAGCTCCTGAAGAAAGCACTAAATATGGAAAGGAAAAACTGGTACCAGCCACTGCAAAAACACACCAAAATATAAAGACCAATGACATCATGGAAAAACTGCATCAACTAAAGTGCAAAATAACCAGCTAGCATCATGATGACAGGATCAAATTCACACATAACAATATTAACCTTAAATGTAAATGGGCTAAATGCCCCAATTAAAAGACACAGATTGGCAGATTGGATAGTGTCCAGACCCATCAGTGTGCTGTATTCAGGAGGCTCATCTCACATGCAAAGACATACATAGGCTCAAAATAAAAAGATGGAAGAATATTTCCCAAGCAAATAGAAAGCAAAAAAAATCTGGAGTTGCAATCCTAGTCTCTGACAAAATAGACTTTAAACCAACAAAGGTCCAAAAAGGCAAGGGCATTACATAATGGTAAAGGTATCAATGCAACAAGAAGAACTAACTATCCTAAATAGATATGCACCCAATACAGGAGCACCCAGATTCATAAAACAAGTTCTTAGAGACTTATAAAAAGACTTAGACTCCCACACAATAATAGTAGAAGATTTTACACCCCACTGTCAATATTAGATCAATGGGACAGAAAGTTAACAAGGGTATTCAGGACTAGAACTCAGCTCTGGACCAGGCAGACCTAATAGACATCTACAGAACGCTCCACCCCAAATCAACAGAATATACATTCTTCTCAATGCTACATGGCACTTATTCTAAAATCGACCACATAATTGGAAGTAAAATACTCCTTAGCAAATGCAAAATAACTGAAATCATAATGAACAATCTCAGAAAACAGTGCAATCAATCAAATTAGAACTCAGGATTAAGAAACTCACTCAAAACCACACAATTTCATGGAAATTGAACAACCTACTCCTGAATGATTCCTGGGTAAATGATGAAATTAAGGCAGAAATCAAGAAGTTCTTTGAAACCAGTGAGAATAAAAAGACAATCTACCAGAATCTCTGGGACACAGATAAAGCAGTGTTAAGAGAGAAATTTATAGCACTAAATGCTCACATCAGAAAACTGGGAAGATCTCAAATCAACACTCTATAATCACAGTTAAAAGAGCTAGAGAGACAAGAGCAAACTAATCCAAAAGCTAGCAGAAGGCAAGAAATAACTAATATTAGAGAAGAATTGAAGGAGATAGAGACATAAAAAACCTTCTAAAAAATCAATGAATCCAGGAGCTGGATTTTGAAAAAATTAACAAACTAGATAGACTGCTAGCTAGCCTAATAAAGAAAAAGAGAAGAATGAAATAGACACAATAAAAAATGATAAAAGGAATGTCACCACTGACCCCACAAAAATACAACCTATTCCTGAATGACTCTCGGGTAAATAATGAAATTAAGGGAGAAATCAAGAAGTTCTTTAAAACCAATGAGAACAAAGAGACAATGTACCAGAATCTCTGGGACACAGTTAAAGCAGTGTTAAAAGAGAAATTTATAGTACGAAATGCCCACATCAGAAGGCTAGGAAGATCTCAAATCAACACGTGTATGTTTATTGCAGCTATACTTACAATAGCAAAGACATGGAACCAACTCAAATGCCCATCAATGATAGACCAGATAAAGAAAATGTAGTGCTTATACACCATGGAATACCATGCAGCCATAAAAAGAATGAGATCATGTCCTTTGCAGGGACATGGATGAAGCTGGAAGCCATCATCCTCAGCAAACTAACACAGGAACAGAAAACCAAATGCCACATGTTCTCACTCATAAGTGGGAATTGAACACTGAGAACACATGAACACAAAAAGGGGAACAATATGCACCAGGGCCTGCTGGGGATGGGGGTCAGGGGAGGGAACTTAGAGGATGGGCCAGTAGGACAGCAAACCATCATGGCACATGTATAACTGTATAACAAACCTGCACATTCTGCACATGTATGTAGTTTTTTTTTTTAGAATACATTTTTTAAATTTTTTGTTTGAAAAAAGAAAATGGGAGTGGAAAATCCAGCATCCCTTAACATAACTAGAAGTTATTGTAAAAATAAACACAATGAAAATCAGAGAAAATGAGTTAGAAACATTGGATCGTCACCTTGCTGAAATTCTGTGAAAAGTTATTCAGTGATCTTTAAAACTTTATACCGGGTATGCTTATCGTGACTATTAAAACAACAAGCTCTAATTCTAACTTTGTTACTGACTTTCTTTGTACACCTGTAAATGTCTTCTTAGTATTTGGTCTTTTGTATGAAAATGTTAACCATAATCCTCAGAAGTTGATCGTTTTCCCCACATTTTATAGACATTAACTTTTGCTTGTATATCTCTCTTTTAATAAGGAGGGAAGATTGACTCCAGGAAAGTGGATACAGTTTTGGGAAACATGGGCATAAACCTCACTGAAAAAGAACTTGAAGATCTAACACAAAACCTACCAGTTGATGGTGAGAATTTTAGATATTACTGAACCCTACAGAAAAACAAGTCTTATAAGCCTATTTATAACAATCATTAAAAATGTTATTTGGACCTGGATTCAGTGGTGCTTACCTGTAGTCCCAGCTACACTGGAGGCTGAGGCAGGAGGATCACTTGAGGCCAGGAGGTCAAGGCTTCAGTGCACTATGCTTGTGCCTGTGAATAGCCACTGCACTTCAGCCTGGGCAACATAGCAAGACTCAGTCTCTTTAAAAAAAAAAAAAATGTTTATTTGGCATCAAGAAGGCATTCCGAAAACCTTAGAGGAAAAACTCAGGTCCAAAAGAAGAACACATACTATCTCTTGCTGATTTCATGTGTATTTGGAGAAAGATTTCATGATTATGAGTCATTCTCTCTCTATCTCTACTTCTCTCTCTCTTTCTCTCTTTCTCTCCCTCCCTCCCTCCCTTCCCCCCTCCCTCCCCCCCTTCTTTTTTTTTTTTTTTTTTTTTTTTTTTTTTTTTGAGACGGAGTTTCGCTCGTTACCCGGGCTGGAGTGCAATGGCGCGATCTCGGCTCACCGCAACCTCCACCTCCTGGGTTCAGGCAATTCTCCTGCCTCAGTTTCCTGAGTAGCTGGGATTACAGGCACGCACCACCGTGCCCAGCTAATGTTTTGTATTTTTAGTAAGGACGGGGTTTCACCATGTTGACCAGAATGGTCTCGATCTCTTGACCTCGTGATCCACCCGCCTCGGCCTCCCAAAGTGCTGGGATTACAGGCGTGAGCCACCGCGCCCGGTCCCTCCCTGCTTTTACATTCAACTTTTCTTCATATTCCCTGTAAGGTAGGGAGAATTGATAGGTATTGTTCAAATTCCAATCCATACCTTTGGCCACATTTGCTAGTAGGTGACATCAGTATTTATTTTTTTTAAGGGTACTTAATCTTTTACGTTTTTTTCCCTTTTACTATGGCTAAGTAGATCTGCTGTACATGACACCCATCTGAATCAGTGTTTGTCTATCTCTGTCTCTCACTTTCATATGGGTCCTATGGAGAAAGTTTTATGGTGGACAGTTTAAACTACCTCCTTTCCTTTTCCGTTCCTCCTGATGCTGGCATGTATACATTATATCAACTTTTTTTCAAGTAACAGTGGTAAAATTTAAGACCCAGTTTTAGGTTTGAGAGTAATGAAATAGACTATGCCCATAGTCCACATCTGCCTGAATCTTTTTAAGTACTACTGGCTTATGAGAAGATATACCTCAAGAGATTTGGACTCGAAAAATTGTTGGGTCTGTATTTATCTTGGGGACCTACAGATAAGGAGTAATTTACAATAGGCAGAATTTCAGAATTTCTGAAATCCCTGGCCAAAATGAAATCTCCACCTTATTAATAGTACCTAATCTTTCCCCGGCTTTGGATTAGGTATTAATAACAAGGTGGAGATTTTTTTTATAACCTTAACCTTAAGTAAGAAATTCGTTGAACTATTACTAAAAATCAATGAAAGTGTTAACAGAGCCACTAACTGGCCAGATAATACACAGAAAGAGGAAAATTAAGTTGGCAAAATTGTGGATTTGGTGGAAGATGCTAGAAGAATATAATGAAACAGAGTTAACATAGAAAGATAAATAAATGGAGGAGAAAAAAAGAAATGCCAGTGGAGGATAACTGGAATGCCCCCCGTCCCCTGACAATTATCTGAGAAAGGTAGTGATTGTTATCATTCAGCCATTCCAAATAAAAGTTAAAAATGAAATAGGGAACTTAGTAAGAATAATGAGTTAAATGTTCACATGTACTTTTATTTTATGTGTGGTTGAGCTATTTCAGTATTATATTTTCTTTTTTGAGTTGATGCATTTATCATTCTAAAATGTCCCTTTTTATTTCTTGTAATATGTCTTGCCTTAACTACTACTTTGCCCAGTATTACCAGTGTTACTAGCTTTTTTCTGTTTACCTGGTACATTTTTTCCTTCCTTTGATTTTCAGTCTATCTGGGCCCATATTTTTAAAGGGCATACCTTGTATACAGCATATAATTAGCCTCTGTTTTTTGAGTCTGACAATCTTTCTCTTTTTTCTCTTTTGGTTAGTTTTTAGTATAGTTAATGTTATACTGATATACATCTACAGTGCATGATTGCTGAGTTTTGACATATGCATATACCTGTGTAACCCAGACATCAAGATATAGAACATTACTGTCACTCCAGAAATTTCCTTCATGCTCCATCCCAGTTAGTCCTCACCCAACCCCAGAAGCAACCAGTATGTCGATTTTTTCTACCACGAATCAGTTTTACCTACCCCAAAACATATAAATCCCTTTCAAAACTTTGATTAAGGTAAACACAAAAGAATAACATCACATGAAGTACATCTATACCATAGTATACTATACAGCTATTTTAAAAAAAAGAGATCATGTCCTTTGCAGGTACTGGATGGAACTGGAGAACACTATCCTTAGCAAACTAACACAGGAGCAGAAAACCAAATACTACACCTTCTCACTTATAAGTGGGAGCTAAATGATTAGAGCACATGGACACATAGAAGGAAACAACAGACACTGGGATCTACCTGAGGGTAGAAATTGAAAGGAAGGAGAGGAACAGAAAAAGTAACTATTGGGGACAAGGCTTAAAACCTGAGTGATGAAATAATCTGTACAACAAACCCCCATGACACATATTTACCTACATCACAAACCTGCACCTGTATCCCTGAACTTTAAAAAAAGTTTTAAAAAATAACATTATAGGTAAATGAAATTTTCCTTGTCACATAGAATGTTTTTATTCCTGCTAATAGATTCCTTATTATTTGAGATAAATTTAGAATATTTTAATGAAAGAGAACCCCCTGAGGGCCTAGTTCTCAGTGGAAATCCCCAATTAAATAGCGTATGGCAGAGAGCCCTTCCATCCTGGGTCAGAATTTTTCATTAAAAACCAGTAGGGCAAGCAAAAGACAAAAGGATTTAGTTGACTCCTCACCATAGCAAACCATACACAAAGCCAAAAAAACAGTAATCCCCTTCAAATATCTCATCTTTTTCTCTGATGGGCTTGATTACCTGTAATAGTCCAGTTGAATAAAAACACATTTTCCTGCTGTCCTGACTGGTAGCTGGTGTTGACACAGAAATTATTTGTGTCCAGGAATACTTGAATAGATATAGATTAAGGATCAAAAAATTCTTCTCATCATAGACTTAACAAGACTATTAACAATCAATATACTCTTCTGGCCACTCTACTGGTATTTTGTGAGGACACAAAAAGAAAAGTTTATTGAATTCATGAAATAACTACATTTTTAATCTTCCATGATTCCTAAGTTATAGCTAGATTTTTCTCAATAATATGGAAAAAGTATTACTTTGCCTTTAAAAGAAAAAAGTACTTTTTTTTCAGAAACTAGGAATTCGTCACTGTTCTTCCCCAAAGCATAATACATCAATGCTGCTGAAAGATTAATTGTATTTTATTTAGGAAATAATTGTGTTTATTATCATTTGAGCTTTCTTAAGGAGAGTGTAGCAAACGTTACATTTTCTAAAGCAAATAAATACTAAATTCTGCTCTGTGCAACAACATTTTCATAGTCTCATTGTCATGTTTCTGTCCAATTTATTCCTTGTTTTACAGTTAATGGTAAGGTTGATCTGAGAAAGGTGATGAATGAAATGAAATATTTTACGGGTAAGACATTACTAAAACATTTTTAGTTGAATTCGAACTCTTGTATTTTGCATGGTGCTTTCCCAATATTAAATATGTCAGTGCTGATATTTTACATATTTATATACAACTGTTCTTCTGCCTTTGACTTTGAATTATTTAGGACTTGTACATGAAAATGAATGGTGACATTTGAGTAATAAGTCATTTATATTTTCTGTGATTTCTAACAATAATATGCTGATCTGAACCAGTGTTTTAATGAGAGGTAACAAATTGGCCACCCATGAGTTGAATTCAAATTGCCATCAACTTTTACAAGGTCTGAAAATACTGAATCTGCATTCACTTGCAAAACAGCTGATGTTTTTTCTCTTTGAATAAAGCATGTGTTCTCTGTTTCACCAAAGCCAATTTCACTCCTTTCCTCTACCTCCAGACTCTCGTGAGGTTTTGAGTTTATAATTTCTGGATTAAGTAGTCGAAATTTAGGGAGACACAAAATAAGATGAATATTTTAAAAGGATTAAGTGGATTGAGCTGCTTTAAATAATAATCACATGATTCAGCACTAAAAGGAAAATAGACTGGATATCTCTAAATTGTAGGCTGATTATACAATTGGATTTTCTTCTGTGCTAGCATGTCTTTACATTAGGCTTAGGAGGCCACTCTGTCTTTCCATGAAGAATCAATGAAGTTCTTTCTCACTCATCCTTAAACACAATTATAATATGTGAGACTATGGAATACTATGCAGTCATAAAAATGAATGAGTCATGTCCCTTGCAAGGACATGGATGAAGCTGGAAGCCATCATCCTCAGAAAACTAACACAGGAACAGAAAACCAAATACCACATGTTCTCATTCGTAAGTGGGAGTTGAACAATGAGAACACATGGACACAGAGAGGGGAACAAGACACACCAGGGCCAGTCGGGAGATGGGGAGCAAGAGGGAGGGAGAGCATTAGGACAAATAGCTAAAGTGTGCAGGGCTTAAAACCTAGATGACGAGTTGATCGGTACAGCAAATCACCATGGCACATGTACACCTATGTAACAAACCTACATGTTCTACACTTGTATCCGAAAACTTCAAGTAAAATAAAAAATAAAAAAAGAATATGTGAGAATATGTAAGTGGTCTACAGCCATACCAACCTGAACTCACCTGATCTCGTCTCATCTCAGAAGCTAAGCAGGGTCAGGCCTGGTTAGTACTTGGATGGGAGAATATGTAAGTAAAGATGTCATTATATGGTCCAGCTTTCTCATTCTCTCTGATAATTATAATATCCTAAAATTGCCATGTGTTCTTTCTTTCAAAGGAGACAAAGTTGATATAAATAAACTTCAAAGTGTTTTAGGAAACTTGGGGATTGAGCTCATGCCCAATGAACTCTTGAACTTGCTGAAAACATTGCCAGTTAATGGTAAGTATTATGGATGCCATTGGGTTTTTTAGATAGTCTGATTTTGTGGATATGTAAAAACATTCCAAAATAAACTAAAAATGCTTAAAATTGTTTAAAAGCTAATGCTAATATAAAGAAAAAATTCATCACTTAGATTTTAATTGAAAATCATCAAACCTTTCAGCTATAAGTTGCTATCAAAGTTCAAATTCATTATTTACATCTTCACGTTGTTGATTAGCTAGAATTGTAAAAACAGATTAAAAGAAAAATAAAAGGGACAAGAAAATAGAGAGAGGAGGAGATAGAAGCAGGAGTAGAGAGACAATAAAAAGAAACTAAATAATGTAGCTGTGTGTGTTTCTGAAAAATAGAATATATCGTTTACCAGCAAGTGGATAATTTTGTAGATTGAGAAAAGATTACATTTCTTAACTTATTATTAGTTGAAATAAAACCAAAAAATTTCAGAAAAATAGAAAATGCTTTTAATTCCACAACCCAAAGATAATCAAAGTTAATATCTTACAGCATTTTCTTTCAGCACTTTTTAGATGATGAATAGATGATAAAGATAGACAGATAATATTTGTGTATATATTAACTTATCATTCTTATCTCTTCACACTATTAATGTGACTCATCATAGAAAATCTTGATAATACAGGGAAGAAAAAAATCAAAACATCTCCATTTCTACCTCAAAATAATAACTACTATCAAAAACTTGAGATTTATATTTCCAGTTTCCTATTTATGAATACATATCTTTATTTTATTTGGCAACCTTGTGGAGAAAACTTTGCAAACATCCTAAAATTTGTCAAGATTACATGTCTTTAAGTAAAGTTGCAAAAGGAAGATATTTTATTTTATCAAATTTCTTTCCAGAAAAAGTTATTATAATTTGAATTCCCACAAACAGCAGTAGAGAATGTTATTTTCCCTACATTCCTACATTCCCAATACAGAAAAGTAGGTGGGTATATATAATTGTTATGATTTGCATTTTACTCATGTCCTACTGAGAGTGAACATTTTGTTACTGTGTATTATCTTTTGCATTTGAAATGTTCCTTAGGCAAAGATTTTAAGTTCCTTCTGAAATTAAGAGATATGTACTATCTTCTAACTCTATTTACAAAATATCCCACTTTTTATAGCTGATGGAAAAGTGTATCAGAAAAGGTTGATGAAAGGCATGAAGTCTCTTGAACGTGAGTAAGCAGCACAATAAAAAGGCTTAAACCTTGATTTGTACTGTTAAAATATGTCTTCTTTATTTATGGCTCATTCAGTAGATCTGCAAGTAACCAAGTGTTTATTTTACTGTCATCAGCCAGAAAGTGCTAGACTTTTCCTCATTCAGTCCCAAAGGAAAAAAAAAGCTTAAATACACTGCAAAAGGTAAAGAGTAAAGGCTGTCAGATAAGGATTTCAGTCAAAAGCAGGACATATAATTCACAAATACAAGCAACAAAAATAACTCCTGTTCTGCAGAATATTATGGTCATCTTTAGCTCTAGATTTTCAACTTTCTTTAAGAATATTTTTGCTCCGTAGGCTTGTTCCCAGAATAAGATTTGAGGAATTCAGTTCTAATTTTTATCCTTCTGTTATCTGTAAAAGACAAGTTTTTGGTGTTTGTCTTAAAATCTTAACAATTATGCTAGGAAATGAATGATATTTTTTCATTGTGACAAGACTCATCCTCAATAAAAAAGAAAACTAATACAGCAGCATAAATGCATAGTCCAATTTTAGAATCATTCTGCTTTACCTTATTCCTTTCCTATTCCTTACTTAGAAGGCAATGTTGATGTCAATAAGCTGGACACTCTTTTAGAAAACCTGGGGATAAAGGTCACGGAAGAGGAATTCATGGATCTAACAGAAAGACTACCAGATGACTGTGAGCACTGTAATCACCCCCATACTTTTTTGGAGTACTTATTCTTTTAAACTTAAAAATAAGAATTTCTCCAACCAGATCATCAAAATATCAATGACTTTTCAAAAACTTAGAGGTCAGTCTTAAAGTCAGGGGAAAAAATCATTTCACTTGATTTCTTCATAATTTCAATTAATCTAAATCAAGCTAAGAGAAATAATTCTCTAAATTAATTCAATTAATCTAAGAGAATCTACTGATTCTCTTAATCATTTCAATTAATCTAAAATCCAGTTTTTTTCCCCCTATTGATACTAAACATTGCATAAAATGAAGCCAAGATTTTGTTAAGCCAGGAAATGATCAGGAGGTGGCATTCAAAATGGAAGGGAAGGGTTTATTAATACAAGGAAGGGAGATCACCTCACATTTTCTTCTCCCAATGTATCAGGTTCCCACATTCACCATTCTATTAAAAAATACTCTTACTAAACTGACTGAAACATCCTAGTATATAAATCCAATGTGCACCACTCTTTTTTTTCTTTTACTTTAAGTTCTGGGGTACATGTGCAGATCTTGCAAGATTGTTACATAGGTATGCACAGGCCATGGTGGTTTGCTGCCTCCATCCCCCATCACCTACATTAGGTATTTCTCCCAATATTATCCCTCCCCAATCTCCCCACCCCCCCCTACTATCCCCCCCCCAGCCTCTCAACCCCCAACAGACCTCAGTGTGTGATGTTCCCCTCCCTGTATCCATGTGTTCTCATTGTTCAACACCCATATATAAATGAAAACATGTGGTGTTTGGTTTTCTGTTCTTGGGTCAGTTTACTGAGAATGATGGTTTCCAGATTCATCCATGTCCCTACAAAGGACACAAACTCATCTTTTTTTATGGCTGCATAGTACTTCATGGTGTATATGTGCCACATTTTCTTTATCCAATCTATCATTGATGGGCATTTGAGTTGGTACCAGGTCTTTTCTATTGTAAACAGTGCCACAATGAACATACATGTGCATGTGTCTTTATAACAAAATGATTTAGAATTCTTTAGGTATATACCCAGTAATGGGATTGCTGGGTCAAATGGTATTTCTATTTCTAGATCCTTGAAGAATCGCCACACTGTCTTCCACAATGGTTGAACTAATTTACAATCCCACCAACAGTAGAAAAGTGTTCCTGTTTCTCCACATCCTCTCCAGCATCTGTGGTCTCCAGATTTTTAAATGATTGCCATTCTAACTGGCATGAGATGGTATCTCAATGTGGTTTTGATTTTCATTTCTCTAATGACCTGTGATATGAGCATTTTTTCATATGTTTGCTGGCCTCATATATGTCTTCTTTTGAAAAGTGTCTGTTCATGTTCTTCACTCACTTTTGAATGGGTTTGTTTAGTTTTTTCTTGTAAATCTCTTTTAGTTCTTTGTAGATTCTGGATATTAGCCCTTTGTCAGATGGGTAGATTGCAAAAACTTTTCCCATTCTGTTGGTTGCTGGTTCACTCTAATGATTGTTTCCTTTGCTGTGCAGAAACTCTTAAGTTTAATTAGATCCCATTTGTCTATTTTGTCTTTTGTTGCCATTGCTTTTGGTGTTTTAGTCATGAAGTCCTTGCCTATGCCTATGTCCTGAATGGTTTTACCTAGGTTTTCTTCTAGGGTTTTTATGGTGTTAGGCCTTATGTTAAATCTTTAGTCCATATAGAGTTAATTTTTGTATAAGGTGTAAGGAAGAGGTCAAGTTTCTGCTTTCTGCATGTGGCTAGCCAGTTTTCCCAACACCATTTATTAAACAGGGTATCATTTCCCTATTGCTTGTTTTTGTCTGGTTTGTCAAAGATCAGATGCTTGCAGATGTGTAGTATTACTTCCAAGGTCTCTGTTCTGTTCCATTGGTCTATATCTCTGTTTTGGTACCAGTATCATGCTGTTTGGATTACTGTAGCCTTGTAGTATCGTTTAAAATGAGGTGGCGTGATGCCTCCAGCTTTGTTCTTTTTGCTTAAGATTATCTTGGCTATGTGGGCCCTTTTTTGATTCCATATAAAATTTAAGGTGTTTTTTTTCCAGTTCTGTGAAGAAGGTCAATGGTAGCTTGACAGGGATAGTGTTGAATCTATAAATTACTTTGGGCAGTATGGCCATTTTCACGATATTGAGTCTTCCTAATCATGAACATGGAACATTTTTCCATCTGTTTGTGTCCTCTCTTATTTCCTTGAGCAGTGGTTTGTAGTTCTCCTTAAAGAGGTCCTTCACATTCCTTGTTAGTTGTGTTCCTAGGTATTTTATTCTCTTTGTAGCAATCGTGAATGGGAGTTCGCTCATGATTTGGCTGTTTATCTGCTATTGGTGTTTAGGAATGCTTGTGATTTTGCACGTTGATTTTGTATCCTGAGACTTTGCTGCATTTTTCTTTGATGTAGGCATTCTCTTTGGGAATTTTCTTGCATAAATGTAATTATTTATTGTCTACACTCCCAATTTCAGTTTTTTTTTAAGAATAAAAAAATTTTTTTAAGTTGACCAGAAGGCAGAGTGCCATGGCTGATGCCTATATCTCCAGTATTGGGAGGGAGGCCAAGGTAGGTGGATCACTAAAGCCCAGTATTTCTAGACCAGCCTGTGAAACATGACAAAACTCCATCTCTACAAAAAATACAAAAGTTAGCCAAGCTTGGTGACATGTACCTGTAGTCCCAGCTACTCAGGAGGCTCAAGAGGGAGAATCGCTTGAGCCTGGTAGGTCAAGGCTGCAATGAGCTATGCTTGTGCCACTTCACCACTCCACCTCAGGTCACAGAACGAGACCCTGTCTCAAAAAAAAAAAAAAATTGACAAGAAATTTCATTCAGAATCTATGTTAGTTATTTCTCCAGACTTTTTGCAATTATCTTATTCACTCCAAATTCAGCAGAACTTTTTTTAGCAATTTGCTCTTACCAGAATATTCCAAATTATTCTGATGTCATCAGCATCAGTCTGAATGTGGAAATTTATAGTAGAAAGGGAAAATCAAGTTCAGACCATCAGGTTAGTTAAACTGAGGTAAATTCAGAAATCTCCTATAATAACAAATTTCTATTCAGACGTAGCTTTTTCATGACAATCCAAACTCAGCAAATAAAAGGTAAATCATTAATTACTTCTCTAATTCATGATTTTAAAAAATTATGTCCCTGGTATTTATTCTCAGTTACCATGCAATAATCCACAAATTATCTTTGGCATCTCATGCTCTCTCATTTTTTTTCCTCTTAAAAATCTCTTGGCTATCTTGGCTACTCTAACCTTAATCCAGATCATCATGATCTCTGGCTTATACTACTGCAAAAGCCTCTTGACTGAGGCTTTTGTAGTAGTATATGAATATGAACTAATAATCATATTGTTGCCTTCAATTCATTCTATATAAACTAGCCAGGATGAGTTTGCTAAGGTGAAAATCTGACATTGTTATTCCTCAGATTAAAACTTTTCAACAATCCTTCATAGCTTATATACATTGACTCTTAGAATATGCCAGCCACAGTGCTAAGCATTTTATCAATTGGCTCATTTAATTAATTTATGTATTCATTATATTTATTGAAAACCCATGTCCCAGCCTCTGTTTAAGTCTTAGGGATACAGCCATGAACAAAACAAATTGATGTAAACTTCATAGAGCCAGGATTATCTTTTTTTCACTGCCATATTCCCAGATCCAGATAGTCTAAAATCAGAAACCAAAGTATTAACTGTTACAGGATATTACTCTGACTCCATTTAAACTCTTGACTCATCTTTTCACTCCTTATGTGGCATTTTTCCCTTGAGCAAGATTTAAAAGCATTAGTTCGCCACACACTGTGCTATTCATTACTCCTTTATCTGGGATTCTTTCATTGTCATTGTCCAATAATAGAAAATAACATAACGTCATAAAAAATTGCCTTCAATGTATACCAGCATGTGTTATCATCCATTCCAAGAGAAACGGAATTAAAAACAGATGCATCCAAAAGACTATAGAAAACATTTACCTAAGATAGACTTTATGGTCCAAGAAATCTTAGTTCTTATTGCAGATGATATAGCTATTCATTAAAGCCCAAGAATTATAAATGTTAAAAGGACAGCATATAGTGAATAACCTTCATCGAGGCTTTACTTCAAAATTTAAATACTTTATGCTTTTCTTCCAAGATTGGCTTTATCAGAGTCTAAATGTTTTCTTGTCTTACAGCTGAAAAGAAAGTCAAACTAAATAAGTTAATTAAAGAATTGAGTGCTGTTTTAGGTAAGTGAGAAATTAATTTTTTACATGATCTTTCCTACCATCCCTTCATTCTGTTATTTTACCATTTTAACCTTTCATTAATTAAATGTTTTTATGTACCTGCTTTGGATCACCTACACTTTTGCAACCAATAGAGGTACTAGGCCCTGGCACAAGATATAGGATACTTCATAATTGAGTTAATAACAGATTTTATGCAAACATTATTTGGATGGATCTCTAATATAATTTTCAGGGAAATTATATTCATATTATGTATAGTAATTTCCTCCTTCATTATGATGACATGACTTATTATAAATAAGAGAAATAAGTTGTATTTCTAAGTGTGGTATTTACTCTGTACAATACAGCAGGTGTGCTCGTCTCTTCGTTGCTTATCTAGCAATAGAAGATGCTGCTGCCAGCCAGATACGGTGACTCACACCTGTAATCCCAGCACTTCAGGAGGTCAAAGCAGGAGGATCACTTGAGATCAGGAGTTAGAGACCAGGCTGGGCAACATGGCAAAACTCTGTCTCTACAAAATATGCAAAAATTAGCTGGGCATGGTGGCACATCCCTGTGGCACCAGCTAATAGGGGGCTGAGGTGGAAGGATCACTTGAACCTGGAAGACATAGGTTGCAGTGAGAGAGCACCACTCCACTCCAGCCTGGGTGAATGAGCAAGACCCTATCTCAAAAAAAAAAAAAA